ATAAATATTATATTCTCGAAATTATTGTTTTGTCGTAGAGGGATCGCATTTTGTTGTATATCTCCCATGTTGATTAAACTACAAACAATTTAATGAAAAAATATCCAATTGTCACACAGATTACATGCAATTTTTCATAAATAACAACCCTATTCCTCCTTTTGTCTTCTTAGCTCAGGTGACAAGTATATAGTAAGCACCACTTATTTTGATTTAATAACTTCAAAAAAAGTTCATTTCTTCTATTAGACTAGTCGAAGTTTAAGACTGGTTTAAAACAGAAAACTAGTTTAAAGGGTAGGGGACTGGTTTGGTCCTACAACATTTAACATTTTTTCATAATTTTGCCATTCTTTTCAAAGATTCAAATATTGCTAATATTGTTAATTGTTGATGATGGCATTTGCGAAATTTATTAATATCTCGTAAGTAATTCTGTATACAGATGGTCACATAAGATACCTATGTTGAATTTTGTCATTTGTTTTTAAAGCTAGTACAAGCATATTGTGTACGGTATAGCTCGGGTCGAATCGAAAACAACAGACGAGGTTACACAGATTTCTATAAACTATACAGTGAATGACTCATTCTAAGTTTACCTTTTTTGACATTTTCAATGGTTGGGGATGGGTACTAGAACTTAAAAATAAATTCAATAATTTAAGAGGTCATATTCCTATGAATTGTTTTAGGCCAGATATTATGAAAACACTAAAATATTAGCTAGAAACTTGATATGTTTACTAGCCACCTTAGATACTAACTTGTTACTGCTTGTTAATATACTATTTCATTATCTATAATTCCACCACTACTTTAAATTTATTCGGTACTTCAGCGAGACATGATAATGCTCTTTCGTGGTTGCAGACTCGGCTGAAAAATGCTTTTTTTTTTAAATGTACACCATTATGTTTCTATCGATTTTTGCTATGATTTTAAAATACATTACCAAATTTGAATTATAATCTAAGTGTTGGAACATAAAATAATTAATTGACACCTCAGTCCTTTCTGTTTCGATTAATAAAAAACTCTTTTATCTATTTTCTAACATACAAATTTTAAGTACTGTACACTGTTTTCTTTTACTTAAATCTCCCTAATTATCGCTCATCAATTAAAATAAAATTACAATTTGATAAAGGTTGAATTAATTTGTTGTAATTACATAAACCAAAATATACAACACGATTCGTTGTTATGAATCAAATTAAAGATATCCAAAAAGAACATTTATTTTGAAGTGTGTATCAAAATAATTAGTATAATGATTAATGAGTATTAAATTCAGTTAATAGTTGATATTTTTTTATAATCAATTCATTTTACAGCTACTAGAAGGTATAATTATTATTTATTTGAGAATACAAAGTCAGTGGTTTTGATTCCATTCATATAAAATACAAGAACACTTAAATTTACTCCTCCAAATCTATTTCAGCTTCAAGAAAGAACCGTTCAAGCCTAAATCTATGTCCTTGAAGAAATTCGGAATGGTTTTCACTTGTTCGTTCGACGCATTCATAATCAATTATAGCCTCATGAAATTCACTATTTGGTTCAGTGTAAATCATCACAATATTGTTTACTTCGACTGATAACATTTTTAAACTTTGATTTATTTTCTCGTCACACGGTTTATATATTTCACTCAATAAAATCAGTAATTTGTTAAAGAATAGGTCATCAATATATAAAAAATTTAGTTTTATATTTAATTCATGTATAAACTTATCATGTTCGCATGCATCTTTACTTTCTGTAAATTGATAAAAAGCTAAATGGATCCAAATATAGCTGAACAATGTTACTTTTAAGACGTCCAAAACTATTTCGTGATATTTTGGGTATTTAAACGGTTGTGTTATCCATTCTCCCTCCTCGTATTGATTTTCGATATTTTCCATTTCCTTTGTTAATAAGCCGCATATATTGTCCCACTTAAAGGTAAGGCCAACAATATCGCAGAACAAACTGATTTCTAACCGTGGGGGTCAGCAGTAAATTGCGGATACTGAAAGGCAGTGTATAATGTTCCTTGTTCTTGACGAAACGGCAATATTTTGGATCATACATTTCCAAAAAAGTATCAAATAATAGATGATGATCAGGTCCATTGCTGTATTGTTTTAACGTGTAGTCAAAGTTTTTCATTAGGTATTCGTTTTCTCGACAAGAAGTTATCAATTTCGTTAGGGTGTCGTTTATTTCTGGTAAGTGGTCTCCTAGAAATGTTTAAACTTCGAACTTGGAACTTTGCAGTCCTAAAAGTTTTATATGCAGTTCCCAGAGCCATGCGCTGACTATAAATTTCCCTTTATACGACATGTCTATCATATTGTATACGTAATCGGAAATGGCTCTTAAAGAACTTTCGACATCCGGTAAAATGAACTTCAAATGTACGGAATTCGTGCACTGTATTTCTTGTATTTTACGGTAGAATTTAAACTGAGTAAGAATTCTGTTTGTTTTTTACTCAATTTTGTAATTCGAGGTCAGTGTTATTATTTCGTCACTGGTAAATGTAATGGGCGTGTAACACAATGTCTTGGTCGTATTCAATAGTTGAATAAATTCAACTGCGTACCGCCCAACATAGAAGAACTGTTGCAGCAGTTCGGTCTAGAAAATAAAATAACGTCAGTGGCATCATTTAAGTGTTTGAAAAGGTGAAACAAAATTGTATTTACATCAAATTGAAAATATAGTAATAAATTTGTCACTAACTATAATTATAAATTAGTTTAAAATAAGTATGGCTTCTTAATGTTAAGTCATAACCAGATACTACCTAGGTGTCATGTTGATCACCGTGTTAATAGCTTGGTTTAGGTTAATTTTTTTAAAGCAGTATCTTTTATTTAGAAGTTCAGAAATATAATTATTTTATATCCACTTAACTATTATAATAAGTTAAGGTACGGTTCACTGTTAGTATTACCTAACTCGACACTGACAATGAGTATTATTTATTTACATACATTTGGTAATTTGAAATACGGCTATGATCAATATTTTATAATCCTTTTATTATATAATTTATTATTGTTTACTTGTGTATCCTGTGAAACATTTAAATCCAATATCACAATGGTTATTTCGGAGGCGGTAGGTCTAAGTACAGCTTTTTCATATAATCGATTATGAGGTTTCAATCGATTTGAGCATTCTTCATCATCGTCTTGCCCATTAACCTTCGTAAATAAATAGAAACCCACTTTTAATGTTAAATAAAAAATGCTTAATTGAAATTTCATAACGATAAAAGACACCTCCACAATTCAACAGTACTCTCAAATTGTAAAAGAGTGGATTCAACGAAATATGCATGTTAGTATTTTAAAACATATTCACAGTTTACATCGTTTAAAACAAATAAGAATATATTATTATGTTACAATACACCTAATCTGTATTCTGTACACTTGTATTAATAGCAGATGCCCTTAAGTGTATAAAATAATTGATGTTGTTGACTTATAGGGAATTTGTATAAAACAACATAATCATACATTCTAACGATATACAAAGGATTAATACGGAAATATGTTTGTATACTAGGCGATGATGACTGTGAATTTGTTTTGAAATATTACAGGTGAATATTTTGTTGAAACTCCTCATTTATAGCTTGTAAAATTAATTTGGTCCTTGGTTAAAATAAAAATTGGTAGTTATGGGTCGCCAACATGATTCGCACTAATATTGTAATACTCGTAGTGTACCCAATCTTAACTTATAGTAATAGTACGCTACAAAGCACACAGTGGATGTAAAAATAATATTAAAACTAATAAACTAATAAGTGTATTTAAAGTACGGTTATGACACTAAACAGTCGACAAAGAACAGAACTTTTCTGTTTTTTACTCGGAATACCCGATGAATCTATTTTGTTGGGTCAAATGTATATAATATCAGAAGATTATTACTATAGTTGCCAAACCTGATGAGCGCAAGTACCAAGGACTAACGTAAAGGTGCACAGGGAAAAAATATATCCCTTGGTATACAAACGCTTCAAATACAATTTGAAATAAGTATATATTTTTTATATAGTTCGTTTTTATCTATGTTAATTTATTAATAGTACAAAACGGTACGAATTAAATTTAAAAAAAATGCAGTAATTATTAATAGAAGCATCGCCGAGAGTCGTTTTATAATTTGTATTTAGTGTTGTCTAAAATTTTAGCAGATGTAGTAGGTATGTAGGTCACTGTTAAAAAATTGGTAAGCAACCGTTGCCAGTTAGATCACCTGCTAAACGAATACCGAGTCTTTTTTTATACTTTTTACAATATGAACAGATATAATAATATATCTACGTAGGTACCAGTTTAGTTTTTAGCTAACGTTTTTTCCGAATCCATATTCGCCGGTGTAATCGCTATAACTACAACTATGTGAACAACAAGTTGGTGTTATCGATTAATTTTCAAAAAAGTTTGTCCGTTTCATAAAAAACACTTCAGTGCGAATCTATCTGATCGTTGTTTGCTAATTTAAACATTTTACTCGTTGATCAAAGAACGCGACTCAACCACTATCGGTTAGATAAAGTTAGAGTGGATAAGTTAACGAAATAAGACACTTTTGGACGATCAAGGTTAACACAGAACGTAAATAACTCTAACAAATGTTATCTAGGGTATAGTATAGTAATCGCTGAGTGGCTAAGATCCGTCATTGGCCACTAGAATATTTTATTTTCACTGGTTTTTATTGAATTATACAAATGTATTTTAAATCGAACAATGCAATGGCATAGGACATGGTAACAGTCCACTTTGAATCAAAAATGTGCACCAACCATATAAGAAGATTTAGGTAAAGAACGCTTATAAGTAAACTTAGTTGTTAATTTTATTTAAAGAAAAAGGAATAGTATTTGAATAAAATGTTTTACGGTGTGTCAAGTTGCTTTATGATGTTGTTAGTAATCAGTAATTGGCAAATGTTGATATCGTGTAACGACAACGAAGATCTAGTTTTTAGACTCAACGCCATAATAAGCCATCCTGGATGGAAGCAAATCGACCATATCGAAGGCAAAGGTCAATGCTCTGCAAATTCATTTTCCGGCAAGGATCTGTTTGTACCCATCGAAGAACCCGATTATTTCTACGTAACCGACGAAAATGTCTACACAAAATACTGGATGACTGCTCGATTGATTGGATGTGTGTACGCGAAGGCTATCTTAGATTATTTGTCCTTCATTCTGTTTATTCTACACGAATGCACACGCGATGCAAAACGTGTGAGTAGCGTGATCCGTACGAGAAGGCATCGTCATAAAACCAACGCGGTAAAAGTTTCAAGAAATAAACTTGATTTGAACTATAGCAGATTTTGGTATATGCTTGATTTAGCGTTGGGTTCAATAGAAAACAGTCATATGATGTTTGACTGTATAACCGATGCGTTGAGTTTTCTAGAAGAATCGTTGGATAAATTACGTGGACGCCAGTCGAATATAAATCTATATTTGAATCCGACTAACATAGGACTCATAAAGAAAATTGTATTTCTAATCCGCAACGCGAAGCAAACCATTAAACTTTACAACAACGAAAACCGTAATAAATACAATAAAAAAATTTCGAGAATTCCCCTAACGTTGGGAAAACATTTTAAACTGCATATAATAAACAATTTAATTATATTTACAAATGAATACTGCGTAATGCTACAAACCGCAAACACAAGCGAAGCTCAGACTTTGAGTGTGCATCAGGGCTGCATTATTCATTCCGTCGAAGAAGCTCAAACAGAAATTGAAAATCTTATAAACAAGGTCATCAATAATTACTACGGAGAATTAGGTTTCCTGAAAGAAGAAAAACTGCCGGAAATTCACTTAATGTAAATTTTATTGTATTCCTAAATTATATATTAATATGTACATTGATATTGATATAATATAATTTTGTTATACATCATCATCATCAAGCTTAATATTCTAATACTGCGGTTATCTATTCAAAATTAAAAAAAAACTTTTTAATAAACATTTTAAATTTAAATTTTAGTTTTTCTAGAATTGGATTAATTTTTATGTTTTTTACGATTCCTTAATGTAGGAGTGCTAAAAATTCGGATACTCCTTCATAACGAGAATGAGGAATTCTTTCGACTTAGCATTTAAAAGATAAGAAACGTAGAAAAGAGTTTTGAATTGAATCAAGAGTTTGATTCAGAATTGAGACATTTGGAGACCAAATAGCTATAGAATATTATACTGTGATGGAAAAATGAAAAAATAAACGTTTTTAAAACAAAATAATTACAAAAAATTTAGACTTCGTTTTGAAAGACCCGTTTTTGACGATGGCCCATTTTCACTTTTAAAAATGATCTTTAAAGATTAGTTTTGTATAAAAAAATATACATAGATCATTAAATTAATTAACATGCTGGATCTTAGAGTTTGATAATTGATAGCTTATTAAAACCAATATGGGTTTTTTATGGGAAAGTGTACGTTTAAATTTACAATAATATTAATAATATTAATGTTATTCGTTTTGGTTGATATCACCAACAGCTTTGTTTGTAATAGAATAAAAATCTTTTAAGATAATTATGAATAATTCTGAGCCACAGACATTGTTTAACAAAATGACAAATAGTAGTAGTATTCAATGCACGAAAAATGAAAATATAAATTAAATTGTTAAGACTACAGTTAATGTACTTAAAGTTAATTTGTATGCAGATGATATCCATTACGCATATCGTACAAAAGTATATGATAATAAGGATAGTAAGCTCATTGTCCGTTTTATTTATAAAATGTTAAGGAATCCTTTATAAATGACATGCAATTGTTATATAAAGAAGAAGAATTTAAAATCAAATACATAAAATAGTATTATGTCTAATAAACTTGTATATTTTAATCACGAACTAACTTAACAGTACAGAAATAGTGTTGGATCCGTAGTTGGAGGTTGATCAAACTCCCATTAAAAAACAGTATCACCACCGGGTAGATTAATTCCTACAAAAACTTGTTCAACATTATGGAAACAAATTAAATAGTATATAGATCTTTTTTTCCAATTTATGAGCCACCACTAAGCAATCAATATCATTGATGTTATCTTCATTTTCTTCATTTTGGAGGGTTACAATAACAGTTCTACCGTTGCAATATACTATTTAAAAGAATCAGTTCTTAATACTTTTCTTATGTGTCTGGTAAGTATTTAGATCAGAAATCATACCAGAAAGGTATTTTAATGGCATAAAACGTTCACGTTTGCAAAAAAACTTGTAACTATATTTTTTTAAACAAAATATGTTTTTATACATCTGCTAGACCACACACTTGCATAGTTGGTATCTAAAACCATTGTACTTGTTGACTTACAGAGTCTTTGTACAAAATAATATGATCATAAACTTTGACGATCAAAAGAAAAATAAGAACAAAATAGGCCAATATCTTTATGTTTTTGCAGTGTGGTTTTTTTAAAATATTATACGTGTACATTTTGTTTACTCTACATTTTTATAACTTGATAGTATTTTGGAATTTTAAGATATGGTTCTTATAATTTTTAGGTTTCAGTAAAGCGTTTTATTTTAACACTTAAGTTCGTCTGTTATTTATCAACGGAGGTTAATAGGTGTGACGATGTCGAGGAAGAACCATATCCTAATGAACATTATAAACGATTACACGAAAAGTCTGTACTCAGACCAACTGCCTCCGAAATAACCAAAATAATTCAAGTAAGCAAAAGTATATTTAGGATTATATAGGATTATTTAGGATTATAAATATATGTCAAAGACATATTTTTAAATTAGTTAGGTATCATAACTATTATTTTTTTTGATTTTTTATTTCAGCATAACTAAAATATATCATAGCATGTTTAGTACAATTAAAATACAATTGAGCAATGCTCGTAACTGGTACCCGAAGTTCTTATTTTACATAACAAAGTTTATAATATATTTTTCTCATGCAAAACTGTGTACGAACTAAATTTTTTTTTTTGTTAATCATTTTTAATATTTGACAAAATATTTACAATCTACACATTAACTTGCACAACAAGTAAGTTAGTTAGCTTCAAAAAAAGAAAAACATTTTTGTTTCTTTAAATGCATCGGGGACCATATCAATAATGTCATTAATATGTATCTTCTATAGGAATCGCCCGAGACACTTTCCCTCTACCTGAGAAAAAGTAGTTTATTAATTACTCACCATACTTTACTCCATTACCATTACATTAAGCCATTTGGTCACATTTGGTTAAAATAAATATGAAAAAGAATACAGAAATCGACATTTTAGTACTGTATGTTTTCAGGTTGAACATTTACAACAGATCTTCTATGTTGGACAGTATCCAGTTGATTTTATTCTACAATTGAACAAGTACAAGACATTGAGTTTCGAGCACATTCGTTTAAACAGTGAGGAAATAACAGCACTGACCTTAAATTATAATTCAGATAGTTCAAATAATAATAGAATTCTTACTCAATTTAAATTCCACTGCAAAATACAAGAAATACAGTGCGCGAATATTGTACTTTTGAAGTTTAGTTTACCAGAAGTCGGAAGTTCTTTGGACGTTATTGCCAAATATGTGTTCAGTATGATAGAAATGTCGTACAAATGGAAATTTGTAGTGAGCGCATGGCTTTGGAAACTGAATTTAATACTTGCAGACCTACAATAATTCAAGTTTGGAACCCAACTGTTGCTAGGCGAACATCTACCGGATATTATCGAAACCTTAGAAAAATGTATAAACGTTATATTGAGAAAATAAATACCCAATAAAAAATGTTTACCATAAATAAAACTATTACAAGGATAAATATATTTATATTAAAGATGGTCATATATATTAAATTATTAAATACATTTTTGCGATTATATGACGAAAAATATAAACGGTTCTTTGAGAAATTTGAAAGTTATAAATTGCCTATCAGTGCCGAACATCTATCGATGACTCATGTGTGGAGGATAGCAAGACGTATGCGCAACACCATCTCTGGCGTTGCCTTTAATTGGAAAAATGCGAAAAATGTATTCGAATAATGGTTTTACTATAAATGACTCATATCTATAAATTAAAAAATATAAAATTAACAATACTGAGACATTTATAGTAAAACCAATATTCGAATAAATTATTCGCATTTTTCTATTTAAAGGCAAGGCCAGAGATGGCGTTGCGCATACGTCTTGCTATCCTCCACACATAAGTCATCGATAGATGTGTGGCACTGATAGGCAATTTATAACTTTCAAACTTCTCAAAGAACCGTTTATATTTTTCGTCATACAATCGCAACAATGGATTTAACATTTTAATATGACCAACTTTATAATATAAATATCTTTACCCTTGTAATAATTTAAAGTATAGTCAAACATTTTCATTAGGTATTTATTTTTTCGACATAACGTTATTAATTTTCCTAAGGTTTTGTTAATCTCGGGTAAGTGGTCGCCTAGAAATTGTTGAGTTCCAAACTTGGAATATTGTAGTTATACAATTTTGATATGCAGTTTCCATTGTTGTCATCAGACACGGTCAACCAGAATCATTACTTTCCGTTTCACGGACCCACGAAGCTATTACTAGATTTGTCTTGTAATTATTACTTTTGTATAATATAGTCATCCGTGATACTACTACGTGAATCGCTGTAACTTTATTTTAACCTCAACTTACCCTATTCCAACTACGACCACATCAAGTTAAATGGAATGCATCCCAGGAGGCAGAATCAGTCCGAAAGAAGCAACTAGAGCTCTACTTGCTTATTATTTTTATCAAACGATGTACATGCATACATTTAATTAATTATTATTAGACCCTGTCGTAACGTTGATTTGCTTATAATCCATACGAATAAATAAATAATGTAAAATATTTTTTATGTAAAAAAAAACATTAAGCGATAGTATCATTAATTGGTAACTGCTAGTTCCGGTGTTACGCCATTATTAGGTTACACAACTATATAATCTACATTGAAAAAATAATAAAATTAACACATATGAATTCACATTGAAACATGAATAAACAACCAGTACAGTGGGGTCGGTGCATAACAGTGATGGAGAATAGGAGCAAGTCGGGGGACGTCACAGTTTTACCAAACATTTTTATAACTGAAAATGTTATAATCTCATTGAAAAAAGGCTTCGATGTAAATCTTTTGATAGTAAGAATCTAGCACAGGTCAAACAAAGTACAGATTAATCCAGTATCCTCACTATGAATTGTTTTTACAGTTGTGGTTAATACACATGCACGCAAGTTTAAGGGGATCTTTATGCGGTCTGTAATTAAGAAGTTTTGTACAGGTAATATTCAAGAAAAATGAGGTTTTACAAAATTAGATCATGATAATCAATTTACCAGTTAAATTTGTAAAAGCTTCGAGGTATAATTTCTAATTTAAATACATTTTTCTATGAGTAGAAGCCATTTTGGTTTATTTCAGACAGAAAAGCCGGACAAAATGTCGACTACATAAGATAGTAAAATTTTAGTTCTGCAAAGAGATTCGAGTTCTTTGGATTTTGGCTACTTAACTATGTTACTTACGATTTTCTTTTAAAAATTTCAGTTTCTTGTAAAACATTAATTCAACTTGCAACTTTTTCAACATTTCAACTTTTTTCAACAATTTTTTTACATAAAAAAATCAAAGATTCTGCTTCCTACATAACCTAGTATGATTGCCAAAGAACTCGGACCATCATATGTAGTTGACATTTTTTTGGCTTTTTGGTCTAAATAGTAAAAAAAAACCAGACCGCATGCATTCCCTTAATATTGCAAATTCGTATAAGCTTGTTTCTGTGGTTTTTCCCGATGT